GTCAAAAGTTTGGGATCAGTAAGACTTGTAATGTTTTTTAAAGAAGTCTCTTATGCTCATCAAGGCTGCATTTAATTTGAACAAAAATACAGAAAAAAACAGTAATCTTGCAAAATGTTATTACAATATAGAATAGTGGTTTCTATTTTAATATACTTTAAAATATAATTTTTTTCCTATGATGCAAAGCTGAATTATCAGCAGCTATTACTCCAGTCTTCAGTGTCACATGATCCTTCAGAAATCATTCTAATATACTGATTTATTATCAGTGCTGGAAACTGTTGTGCTGCTTAATATTTTTTTGGAACCTGTGATACTTTTTTCAGGATTCTTTGATGAATAAAAAGTTGAAAAGAAGAGCATTTATTTAAAATAGAAATATTTTCTAACAATATGCACTACAGTTCAAAAGTTTGGGGTCAGTACATTTTTATTCTTTCTTTTTTTTAAAGAAATTAAAACTTTTATTCAGCAAGGATGAGTTAAATTGATAAGAAGTGATAGCAAAGATTTATATTGTTAGAAAAGATTTATATTTTGAATAAATGCTGTTCTTTTTAACTTTTTATCCATCAAAGAATCCTGAAAAAGTATCACAGTTTCCAAAAACAAAAATAAATTTGGTAGCACAACTGTTACCAACATTGATAATTCTAATAATAAATCAGCATATTAGAATGATTTCTGAAGGCTCATGTGACACTTTATACTGGAGTAATGGTTGATGGAAATCCAGCTTTGCATCACAGAAATAAATTATATTTTAAAGGATATTAAAATAGAAACCATTATTTTATATTGTAATAACATTTTGCAAGATTACTGTTTTTTTCTGTATTTTTGTTCAAATTAAATGCAGCCTTGATGAGCATAAGAGACTTCTTTAAAAAACATTACAAGTCTTACTGATCCCAAATATGTATATGTAAATATACGTATGTGTGTGTGTGTGTGTGTGTGTGTCTGGACTAACCATGGAATGCTGAATATAATACAACATTGGTAATCAGAGAAAAACCTTAAGCAGAAATTGAACTTAAGCCTTTCCTTTCATAACTGTGCCTCAACAATGACGTTTAAATGTCATCAGTGCTTTTAACACCATAATGGATGCAATGAGTATTATATGGGGTTTCAAATGATATGACAGAACCATATTTATGTTATGCGTGTCCCTAATGTGAAGATCAAACACAGAGGAGCAGATTTTTATAGTCTCTCACAGAGTAATACTTAACCTGCACTCTGTCGTCTTTAAGTGCTCATGGGAATGACAATCTGAAATCAGTGAGAAAATCAAGGTGAAGAAACTCAAGGTGGTTGAAAGTAATTTAAGTGTCAAGCAGGCACTTGTGCAGGCTCTCAAGGGAATAGAGAAGTAAGAAATTAAAGCTGACTATAAGTGGATTCAAATCTTGATTATAGTCAGAAACTAATGTCAGGGTCTGTATGAATGTGTTGCATTATAGTCATGACCTAATGTGGGTAATTTAGAGATAGACACAATCTATGCAGCAAATAGTATGCTGGCTCCTATGACTATGTTGCCAGAGGTTTTATTATCACTCCTAAACACTTTGCAAAGAACCTTTACACTTACTTTCTCAAGTAAAATCATGTAAAACCGTCCTGCAGGAACAGAAACACAGAAACATACAAGCATATAAAATAATACAAAGGCAAAGTTCTTCTCATGTCAAATCAAAAAGTGTCATTAATCTCCCATGTAACATACCTGTAGACATTGCAAGTGTAATGGGCAAAATGTTAAAAAATGTTATTAATCTGTTGGGTTTTATTTTATGGATTATTTATGCTTTGTATTTATGTATGACTCACAAAATTCCTGCTTCATTCACACCAAAAATCAGCAACCGTCTCTCGAAACTGGAGCTCCTCTCATTCAGCAGAAACATCCAGGAGATGAGCCAGAGATTAATGTGTCTTAGTTGGCTTGAAGAAGAATATGCAGAATATGTGTGCAAGAGTCTGACTGGGTGGAAAAAAATATTTTTAATATAAGAATCTATAAATATTACGCAAGTGAAATAAATGACAAAAAAGTAAATAAGTGATCAATATTTGTCTTCAAAACATTTGAATTATGAAAGCCAAGTGATTTTTTGATGAGCTAAAATCTGTGTCATCATCTTTAATATTTACATCTTTTCTCACACACACCCTGGAAGTAATAATGTTTATTTAGCCTAACATATTTTAAGCCAGCAGTGCTGCTACTTATCCACCAGGGGACGATATTCAATCACACTCAACCTTCACTCCATTTACAGCTGCAGCTGGTGTTCTTACAAAGAAACATCTAAAAGTACATATGTACAAGTCAGACATCATCTAGTGCTGTACAAGATTATGTGTGTGTGCATTTGGCCAACAGAACAGTCTTGGCTTGGCTTCCCCGTGGATGCGTTTGACTAGAGTCAGTGTGTCTCTGTTGATCCCATGGAGCTTTTCTGCTCCCCACTGTCTCAATCACCGTTCTCTATTTCCCCCAGAAGCCAGTAGGTCCTCATCTTTCCTTTTCCCTTCATCTCCACATCTCCTCTCAGCTCCAGCTGGAAGCAGTTGAACTCCTGCAGCACATCTCGAGTGGCTGATGACACATGAATTTTCAGAGCTGCAGGATAACAACATGTGAATGATTAGAGTATTAGTGTATAAATCTTGATTAGTTTCGTTCGCACAGCTCACTTCACCGGGTTGACTAATGTGTGTTGGCAAACATGATTTACGTGTGTACTTTCCACCTGCAGGTATATTAAAAGAGCCCATCATATTGGCACACACAATGTTATTTTAGCATTATTTATGTCATATTTTTGTATTTATTAATATTTTAAATAAGCTTTTTTCAGTTTTAATTGTAGTTTTTATGTGGTTTATTAACAACCCATTTTAAGAAGGACTGTACTAAAACAGTCTAGCAGGGTCAAAATACTGGAAATGCACATAAGGGCCACAGTGTGCAGTAAAACTGCCATAGTACAATGTTTAAGTCAGGATTGTGATGGTCAAGGCAGGCATATATGCTAATCTTCTCCTGTGAGAAATAAATTAGCAATGCTTACAATTCATCCCTTTCCTGATTGCAATTTGTTTTGCTTTTGTCAAGTGTTATCTAACGCTGATAGTTCTCATTTATCTGGCAGCGTTTATATGGGGAAATAGGTGGTGGGGGAAATAATTCAATTTGAATTACAATGGAATCTTTTCATCAACTTTTTCTTTTTTGTTTGGGCTTTGTGAATGATTGTGAATTTCATTATGGAAAACTGGTGTCGATAATACAACATCTGAAGAAGCATGTCTGTTGAAATATTGAAGCAGACGTTCAAAAAAGGCCAGATAATTTAGGAACAAATTAAATATATATATATATATATATATATATTTGTCTTTTCTATACCAATTTATTGCATAAATTAAAGACACTCAATATTTCTCATACCCTTAGTATAGAGTCATGGCTCAAACCACTAACTGACCTTCACTCTTGACCTTTACAGTTGCTATGGTTATGAGCACAAATTGCTGTTTGGTAGTAATGGGAGCAGCAAGTACTTACATTCTCCATTCGACTCCATACGAGAAGATGTGTTCACTGTATCTCCAAAAAGACAGTACCGAGGCATCTTCAGCCCGACTACACCTGCACACACAGGACCTGAAACACATACACACATGGGAAAAGCTGTGGCAACTATGCATGCTAATTTTAAAAAATGCTCTATTCTATGAGAGAATGGACAGAATGTCTGTAATGGATAGAAAGTATAGATTAACAAAGCTCATTACAACCAAAATAATCCCTGTCAGTTGTTTGCTAATTAAATCAGTGTGTTAAAGACTAGTTCTACTTAAGTAACCTTTTGAAGCCATCATTCTTACCACTGTGAATGCCGATTCGTAATTTCAGTTGCTCATCAGGTCGGTGGCGAATCTTAAATGATTTGACAGCCTCCAATAGAGCAAGGGACATGCGTGCGATCTCATGACCATGCAGTTTCCCGTTCCGTACCGGCAATCCTGAAACCACCATGTAGGCATCGCCTATTGTCTCCACCTAATCCGATATATATATATATATATATATATATATTAGTGCTGTTAAACGATTAATCGCATCCAAAATTAAAGTTTTTGTTTACATAATATATGTGTGTACTGTGTACATTAATTATATATATATATATATATATATATATATATATATATAAATACACATGCATGTATATATTTAAGAAAAATATGTTATGTTTATATATTAAATATATTTTTATATAATATAAAATATAAGAATATATAAATGAATATACATATACATAAATATTTTCAAAATATATACTGTATGTGTGTGTATTTATATATATATAATAAATATACACACATACATATATTATGTAAACAAAAACTTATTTTGGATGTGATTAATCACGATTAATCATTTGACAGCACTAATATATATATATATATATATACACACACACATTTCTTTTAATTTCTTAAAAGTTCTTAAAACTGTCAAATCCAAGAAGAAAAAAGAAAATAAGGAATACATAAAGTGAAAACATTATTTGTTTGCAAAAGACACACTGTAGCTGTCTAGGGCAAATATGTCGTCAAGTATGAGGTGGCAATACCTTGTAAACGTCAAAATTATCTATAATGGCATCAAAGCAGGTGTAGAGATCATTGAGGAGGGTGACGACCTACAGGAGAGACATCCACTTAAAATCTTTAGAGTGAAGTAGTAAAACAAATCAGAAATATTCTCAGACTTAAATGTAAGATACCTGCATAGGTGTGCTCTCTGCCGACAGAGCCGTGAAGCCCACAATATCACTGAAGTAGATGGTGACAGAGTCAAAAGCTTCGGCCTGCACCGTCTCACCCCTCTTCAGCTGCTCTGCCACTGAACTAACACAAGAGAGATGAAGCTTTATGAGCGTTAGCCAAATGTGTACATGTTTATTTCATAGTTCATTTATTTGCTGTGTATTATGTGTCAACTGACTGAGGGAGGATCTGATACAGTAAAGTTTCTGCCTTGCGTTTCTCCTCCAGATAGGCTTGAGTCCTCTCCTCCACCAGCTCTTCCAGATTATTAGCATACTGCTCCATGCGAGACAAGAGATTATCCAAGATATTACTTCTGTGCTCCCTGAGAAAGAGGACAGATAAATAAACAGAATAAGGCAAATAATAGTTAGAAGAAAAAGATTTGTACATTTTCAACAAAATGGTTTCTAGGGTGTGGCTACAACATTAGCATGGTGACACTAATAGACTGGATGCATTGCAAGCACCACTAATAAAATAACTATTAGATGTATAAAAGTGTTTGTTAAATGGCTTAAACAGACAAGTGAGCTAATACAGAAAGAACTATGCAGAATGGGACAGACCTGTTCTGTTTGCGGAGTAACACACTAATATGGTTAAACTCCGGTCTGTCTGATGGTTCTTCGGCCCAACAGCGCTGCATCAGCTGACCCAGCTCTTCACTGTGGGCTTGAGGGTTCACGGATGGCCGTAGATACGGCCATTCTCCCAGAGCTACACGGTCCACAATCTCTATACACAACAAAGAAAGAGGAAAAGTATGAGAAAAAGAGAGATTTTGAGCTTAAAGGAACAGATCACCCCAAAAAATGAAAGTTCTGTCATCATTTTACTCAACCTCAAAATCCTGTTTTTACATTTAGATAACCTTGTCCAGCATCTAACGCTCATTTATAATTAATCTTTAAAAATACTAACAACAAATATAACAACAACACTGATAAACGTAACCTTTAGTGAATATCTATATTATTCATACTGTATACTGTAGTGCTCTAATGTTTACAAGTAGCAATTCAAATGAGTGATTTTAGTTGTTAGTGTTTTATTTTTCATTTATTAACATAAAATGGTACTGAATTTCAATACTGGGCCATTTATTATCAGGTTATCAGCCATGTTTTTAAAATCGGCATTAAATTCACGGTATCCATTTTCAGTAGCACTTTACAATAAGGTTCCATTAGTTAATGCATTAACTAGCATTAACCAACAATGAGCAATATTTTTGTTACAGCATTTTCTAAATCTTTGTTAATGTTAGTCTTTAAAAACCCATAGTTTGTTCATTCTAGCTCAGGTAAATAAATAATTAGAAGGTAAAACTTCTGATTTTAAAAATGTATTAGTAAATGTTGAAATTACCATTAAATGAGATTAATAATTGCTGTAGAAATATTTTTCATTGTTAGTTCATGTCCTAAAATCATGTTAATGCATCCTATTGTGAATGATTCATCCATGATTGATTTTTTTTTTTGTACCTTTTTGACCTCTAAATTTTGATCAAAATGTCCTAACTCGCATTCAGATCTGCCTCCTTCCAATCAACAACTGATGGATTAAACTTATATCCAGTCCTGAGTTTTACTTGGACATCACAATACAGATGAAAAGATTGGTTGCTTCTTCCAATAAGTTACAACTTTAATATTGGGATATACAGTATATAAAAGAAAGTAAGTCATTTTTAATTCCAACAGTATCAGCAGTCTGAAGACATTTTGCATGTCAAAGTGCTTTCCTTCCTTTTCTCTCTGCTATCAACTGCATCAGGGTATTTTCCATCAGTCTTATTCCCACAAACTCCCACAATGTTTTATCTCTGTTTCCCATCCTCTTCCTGATCTCTCTCAGCTCTATTCATCAGGCTCTTATAGCTCTGAAAGCCTGGAAGAAATGGCTGTGGGTTGTAGCACTCTAGTAAAAACACCATTTCTCAGCTCCGTCTGAGGCTTTTCGCGAACAAACAGGCCTGATAAGAAACAGCTCTTCAAAGCTCAGGACATCTTTACTGCTACACAATTTCTTTGTGCTTGTGTTTTGTATTTATATGTGTGCCGGTGGTGCCAGGTTGATTGGTTGACCAGGAATACACTGACTAGACTGATTGGTTCACCAGTCCAGAACCGTAATCTTCACCAACAGTAATCTTATTACCAAGGTGCCCAAATGCATGTGTGAAGATTGATATGATATCCTCTTCTATGTCAGTTCTGATTATAGTGCTGAGATCACAAGCTCCAGGGACGCTGACAGCACATGATCTGTGTTTGCGGGAGTAGCAGAAAGTCTTTTCTTGACATAAAAGCACGCACACACACACACACACACACACTCATCACTCTCTGGTCTGTATTCTGAATCACATGATTAAATCCATGAATTAGATTAGAGAGGGAAAGAGAGTGAAAGAGACAAGCGTGGATGGATATATGTGTGTAGACAAATAACAAATGAACCTTTTAGTGTCTCTGAAAATTATATAAAGTGACAGTGATTTATACAGCTTTGTTTTCATTTCATTTGCATGGAAATTATAGATGAAATGGAGACATTTTAGAACGTTACTTCAGAGACGTTTTAGTATGTGGTGATTTTCATATTTTATGGCAATTAGCAACTCTGTATAATCATATGGAATCAAAAGGCAAAAGTCTGATACATAATAACTTCTATGTATGAATGAGAGCTCTTCACACTCTAAGGGTTGTTCTCTGTAAACAAGAGAACCATAAGCAGTGGATGCAATGTGTGTGAGGATGTTGGCAGGATGACAAGATAATGTCAAGTGTCTTCTTCTTCAGACAAACTCAGTGGTGGCTGAGTGAAAAGGGTAGTGGACTGGCAAATTAAGAGTGTGTCAGGGTGTTATTATGCATACATATTGAATGTTTGAAGAATCATCTTTGATGTGTTTGTGCTAAAGAGAGGATGAGAATATTCATGTGTATGTGTGTGAGCACAGCTTTGAATGGCATCTGGTTGTGTATTTGTTGACCTCTCTGAAGAACCTGGTTCATTAGCGTCTTTGATTCCTGTCACTGCGGAGGCTCTCGAGGGTAATTCGCGTGAGTGTTCTGAGTGCAGAGCCGTGCATCAATATTTTAAAGCGTTTTGGAAAGAAGTGGAAAAACAAGTTTTTCATCCTCATCAAACTCTTCTCAGACAATTAAGAGTTTCAGATCCCAAATCTCACAGAGAAGCAAAAACAATTATATGAATTTTTAATTAAATGGAAAACACACAAAAAACAAGACTTTTCCACTGCCTTTTTTGCCAACGTAATGGGAACTAAGGCTTTTAAGCTTAAAAAACAACATTAAAGTATAACGAAAAAATCAGTTCAGTTTGACTTTTGTGTAATATTTCCAATGTTCTAAAGCCATATGAAAGCTTTGTGTGAGAAACAGATGAACCTTTTAAAGCACCTTTAATTTTAAAAGTGTATGTGTTCCAAAATATCTAACATGTTTGATATCCTCTAACTGGATGGAACCACAGTCTAAAGATAAAAAAAAAATCAGTCTGTGCCCATCATTCACCATGTGAACTTTGACTGCCCATTATCTGAAACTGACCCTGACTTTCAGCAACTAGTGTCAACTCCTTTGGACTGGTAATTGAAGCAAAATTCTGAGCGACCTCAAACATGGCTTATCATCTGATATATGTAAGTATTAGCAACTTTACATGACCGCTCAGACTAATGTTATAGAGAAATGTGCGCTATTGAAGTGTCTGCAGAGCATGAAGCTGAACAGTGCTCACTGCAGGACAGATGGAGGCGCCGGTGCGCTCACTTGCTCTTAAAATACTCATTTTGGGTCAAAAAGATGCGTTTTCTGCCGTCTCGGTCTCTGTGAACCGAGCATGAAACTCCATGTATAGCTTTGCCTTACAGACATTAAAAATCTATCTATAGAGAGTGAAATGTCTTCTTTCAAATGAACCAATTCAAATGGCAAACAATATTCTCAGATTATGTAATCCGTATGAAACATGCATACAGGCACATCACTACTGCGGCGATGACGAGTCCGTGACGCCGACTTCATCTCTTAAACCGAAAACAAAGAATGCACTAGTTTATAAAATTATTAAAAATGTTAATGCAGTCTCCTTACTGTTTTTCCCTGACACATTCATAATTATTCATTATGCCGGTGTGTCGTGGCAAGCTTTATGCGTGCGCTTGAGCACTTATTAGGCTATGTAGGCAATTAAAGGCTCATTATAATGATTTAAATGGTTTATTAATAGACGTGCTATTAGTCGACTAATGCTTCAAATGAACGACTACTAGTCGACCAGAAAAATCCTTAGTCGAGAGCAGCCCTAGAAAATTCTGTCATTAATTACTCACCCTCATGTCGTTCCAAACCCATAAGATCTTCGTTCATCTTCGGAACACAAATTAAGATATTTTTGATGAAATGTGAGAGCTCTCTGACCCTCTATAGACCCCCCCCCACCCCGGACGTAAACAATGCTGATTACACTCTTGGGTACTCTCCAAAATGGCAGAAGACGTAAATTGGGGCAGAAGAATTGTTGAATAAATTATGTTATTTTTGTTTTCTTTGCCCTCAAAAAGTATTCTCGTAGCTTTGAAAAACTGAAGTTGAGCCACTGATGTCACATGGACTGTTTTACCGATGTCCTTGCTACGTTTTTGGACCTGGGAACATTTCAGTTACTTTGCTGTCTATGGAGGGTCAGAGAGCTCTCACATTTCATCAAAAATATCTTAATTTGCGTTCTGAAGATGAACGAAGGTCTTACGGGTTTTGAACGACACGAGGGTGAGTAATTAATGACAGAATTTTCATTTTGGGGTGAACTACCCCTTTAATGACCTGGTCAACAGTTTAAAGGAGGAAAGAACTATCATTGAATAGCGACTTAAATTTCAGTCTTTTCTTCACTCAAAACTATCACATGACTTCAGAAGACCTGATGAGTCATATGGATTGCTTTTATGATGCTTTTGCATCTTTATGAAGTTTGAAAGAACTGCATAGTTCCAAACCTGTATGACTTTCTTTCTTTTGTAGAAAAACAAAAGAAGATATTTTGAAGAACAGCAGCTATTTTTCAGCTATATATTTCAGCTATTTTTGTCTATAAATAAGAGTCATTAAGGTCCAAAACAATACTGGAATTAATTGTATATATTTGGATATATTTTGTTTTGGTTTACTGAAAGTCATACAGGTTTTAAGCAACGTGAGGGTGCGTAAATGTTTAAGGTTTAGGATATAAGGTCAAAACAGGCTGGAGATGGGCAGATTTAGGCTAAACATGTCATTTATGACATGAATTGGTAAGATTGGATGTCTGACCTTTTGGGCTAAGCGAGTCTACCTCCAGGTAAAAGACTCCTCTCCGCAGAGCCACCTCTTGAAGGATAATGCCAAAACTGTAGATGTCGCCCTTCTGTGTGCCTCCTGGAGGAAAGCACTCCATTCTCAACAGCTCTGGAGCCATCCACAGCTTACCTACACACAGGCGTATGCAGATGCACACAGACACAGACAGGGGACTGACAGTGAACAACAGAATCTGTGACTGAGGTTTGCATGTATGTGTGTTGTGGAAATCGTAGCCACTTGAGTCAAACTGACACGAAATGACAAAGCTGAAAGGTCACATGACTGACGTGCATAATAAGAGTGGGCGTCCTCCGTGTCTGACTCTGTCCTGATACTGGACAGCCCATAGTCAGTGATCTTTAGCACAAAACGATTGTCAACCACACAGTTGGATGATTTCAGGTTGCCATGGGATACAATCACACTGTTGTGAAGGAAAGCCATGCCCTGAGGGAAGAGAAAGATTGGAAAGAATAAAAGAAAGCAAGAGGGCAGAGAGAGAGAGCACAATCAGAATTTAAATGAATTTAATCACGTTTGGAAAGTTATCATGAAAATAAATGCACGCTGAAAGTTGAGAGGGGCCTCTACCTTTACTATGTCGCTGACTAGTGAATATTTGAACATCCAGTCTAATGTGATGCTTTCATTCTCCAAAATGTCCTGTACACAGATGCAGAAAAAACTGAGATAAGTGCATATACATATATATATACGGCCCAACAAGTATTTAGACTTAATAATGTACAAATGTATTAGATAACAAAACATTAAAATAAAGTGCTTGAGAGAAACTGACTTAATAAATCCACCAAAATGGCCAAGAAAAAAATATTGTTCTAACAATAGAATATGTGGTCATATTTAACGTTGTTTGCCAAATTTTCACGAGTAAAATGCAGTCATTTTTATGGCGAGACATTGCAGGTGAATAGGGTAAAAAATGAACTAATAGTTATCACCTTACTTACCCAGTTGATTGATTACATTGATAATTGCAAAAAAAATTGTATTACAAGTTTTCTAAAATGTTAGGCTTAACTATGCAAATGATCCATTATTTAATGAAATATGTGCTAATTTGCATAGATTTCTAGTACAAAAATCTGAACACTGGATGAAGTCAGTTTCAAAATTATTTTTTAATTTTTTTGACATATCAGAGTCAAATGTTTTTTACAGAGGGAATTTTTTGGTATCTCATTTTTGTCACTCCATAATTCAGAAAATACTTAGAACAGACAGAAAACAATATATTTTCACAATTTTGGGGGGGAATAAAATGTTGTATATAATCAAGCAAATTATATATGAACAAATCCCTCTTGTAAAAACCTTCAGGATATAGGCAGGAATAAAAATGTAAAAGTTTGGTGTGTGTAAGTACTACTGAAGTGGAGATTTATGGCTAAGTGTAGGAGAAAAAACTCATTTTGAGGAAACGGTCTTTGAAAATATGTATTGTAATTGAAATCTATTGACACAAATAGATAAAGTGCCATAAAAGAAGCACTTAACAGAGTCTTTTGGATGTTTTCTTTCCACTGGTCTGAAAAAAACACCTTTATGAAAAACCAAAAAGCCCAAAATCTCAAAACTGACAGGTGCATGAAAAAACAGTGTTTTTGCCTGCAGTGTCTCCCCTTAAAGGAATCCTCATGATTGGGAATTACATGTGAGGGTGAAAGATTTTCCCATGCATTTCGCAATAGGTTCAAGTTTACCAACAGTCAATTATTTGGTTTAACAGTCAATTCTGTGTGAGCTGTGATTCATACATCATGGCACAACTGACAACTGATAATGGACCTTTTCTGACTGTGAAATTTCATTAATGTGACCACACTTTTAGGCTGGTAATTCCGCATTCAGGACATTTCCACATTGTTTCATTCGTAATTTCGCCAACCTGAGGTCTTCCACAGCTACTAGGTACATGCACATGCACATTGTCATATTGATGCATGAGTGTGGCTCAGCAGGTTATCAAAAGGATAGTTTTAGAGTAACGGTTATGTTTAGGGTTGGAGGAGAGAAAACATCATGAATCACGAGCATCTGTACCTGCAGGCTGCCTCGAGGGCAGTATTCTGTGACGATGCAGATGTTGGGTGGATCCATGCAGGCACCGATAAAACGGGTCAAATGCTCATTCTGCACATCTCTCATCTAGAGAACAAACACACACTATTATTTTTTAATTCACAGTATATCCTTACAAATATTTTGAAACAAAACACTACAACTATACTGAATATAAACTGGTGTAGAAACAGTTCTTTTCACTCAGAAATTGCTAGTAAATTTCACAATTAATTACAAAGTAATCACAAGTAACACTAAATTAAACTTGAAATGTTTTAAGTAGAAAGACTGCAATAGCATTTTCTATTTTATTTATAGCTTCTAAAAATATTTTAACAGTGTAGTCAGTTGTTTGTGAATCTATTGTAATGATTATAATTGGATTTGCAGAATAATTCTTCAGTAGAGCAAAATAAAAGCATGACACACTCACATGCTTCAGTTCAAACAACACTTTCCTCGTTAACTCGATGCGCTTTCTGTTGATGTATTTAATGGCCACAATGTTTCCCTGACAAAGATGCAAGCACAAACACATACACATGTTGGGTTTCCATGTTTTATGGGGACATTCCATAGACATAATGGTTTTTATTCTGTACAAACTGTATTTTCTATTCCCTTACCCTACCCCTAACCCTAAAACTACCCCTCACACAAAACTTTTTAGATTTTCAAAAAACTTAATTCTGTATGATTTACTTATTGTTTCCTCATGGGAACCAAAAAATGTCCCCACAAGGATTTTGGATTTTGCCATCTTTGTGGGACATTTTGTCCCCATAACGTAGAGTATACATGAACCACACACACACACACACACACACACTCAGGTTTGTTTTTATGGTTTATGGGGACTCTCCATAGGCATAATGGTTTTTATACTGTACAGACCGTATTTTCTATTGCCCTACACAACCCTACCCCTAAACCTACCCCTCACAGGAAACTTTCTGCATTTTTAGATTTTGAAAAAAACTCATTCTGAATTATTTATAAGCCTTTTGAATTACGGGGACACTGAAAATGTCCTCATAAATCACCTTCTCGTTGTAATACCTATGTCATACCCATGTTATTATACAAATTTGTGTCCTCATAAACCACATAAACATGCACACACACACACACACACACACACACGCTATGTTTGCAATGAGATTTGCAAGTTGAGGTTCTAACATGCATATAAACGGTAACACTTTACAATAAGGTTAGTTGTTATTGTTAGTTAATGCATTAGGTACCATGAACCTAACAATGAAAAATACTGCTAAGGCATTTAATCTGTTAATTCTAATTACTACTTGTACTAATACATTTTTAACATTTCAACTTCACTGAATGTATTGAATGCATCATGAACAAACATGAACTTGCAGTGAACATACATTTAAATGATCATAACCTATTAATAAATGCTGTAAATAATGTTGTTCATTGTTAGTTCATTATACCAAATATGTTACCAAATTGAACCTTATAATAAAATGTTACCATGTGAACATTTAAACCAGAGCTTGTCAGAATGATACCTTAAAGTAGCCAGTCTTAGCAAACATCTGGAAATTACCGTCAGCTGTCAGCAGTGATCCATAGTTTGAACCTCTCTGTAGAGAATGAGAGAAATCAAACGACTCAGTGATGATAATTAAATAAATAATAACAAATATTGTTTAAATAAAAACCAGAGAGCTGGAGAAGACATTTAAAAAATATGAGTGTGCACTATGTAGTATGTACTGTCTCTGTTTTTTACTAGAGAAAGTGTGAGTTTGCTCCCGGTGCTCCTCATGGCCTTTTCCAGATTGCTCATCTGAATGTCCTCCCAAGCAATTCTCCATAACTGAGCGACCAACTCCTTCTCCAGCTTCAGCTTTCTGGTTGTGTACATACAGTGTGTGTTTTAAATGCAGCCATATTTGCAGAACAAAATCACATTTATAAATAACTGGTCAGGTATCAGAATCATCTAGCTAGCTCTCACCTGTATATAAACACAGTCACAGTGAAGATGATGACGAGGATGAGGAAAATCACAATGGAAATCATCTGGTGCATTGTGATGGTTCCTAAATGTTTTAAGAGGGAAAGTAAAGGATAGTGAGATGCAGGTAAGCAGTTGGACTGCAGAACTAGCGTATGATACCCACGTGCACGACAGGCAGGGTTGTCGTTCTTAAAGCCGCAGAGGGGCACATCCCAGGGAATGTTGCCACCTGGCCACTGGATAGCCATCCCAGGAAGAATCTTCATCTGCTTCTGTGTGCCATTATACACTGCCACAATCTGCAGCACACATGCAAGCAAAAAGATAACAATTTTATTTATATAATAAATTACATTCTAATTGTACATTGAAAGAAACACCATACATGTTACACAAACATGTTAAGACTTGTTGCAATACCTTTAAGACCAAAAATGCTCACCCTTATGTCATTCTAAATTCTGTGTATCTTTCTTCTTTTGAATATAAAAACTATATTTTGAAGAATGTTGGTAACCAAACAGTTTTGGTTCCAGTAGACTTCCATTGCATGGACAAAAAACAATGGAAACTAAAAATGTTTGATTACCAACATTCTTCAAAATACATTTTAGTGGGTCTCTTCTGTAAATCATGAACAATGATTTAATGAAATGTATGATATTTATTTTTTGCTCAGAAAAACAAAAACAAAATTGCAATTCAATTAAACAGATTTTTTTTATTTTTGGGGGGGAAAACAACAACAATTTAAAGCAGTATTACATTCATTGTTTTTATGTGTAAACCCTTTTTCGTCTTTGACCCAAATGCATGAGTGTGTATTCATATATACTTAAATATACACAGCACACATTACATATATTATGTAAACAAAAACTATATATATATATATATATATATATATATATATATATATATATATATATATATATATATACACACACACACAAATAATATAATTTCTAATGCATTTTAAACAATTATGCTAAAACTACAGCAAATTTTTAATGCCTGTAAATAGTGAAAGATGTTTGTGTGTGTGTGTGTGTGTGTGTGTGTATGTGTGTCCAGATGTTGCAGTTATGGCATCTAATCTATGGCACCAACTGGGACTAACTGAACCTTGACCCCTTGATGTCAACAGTACAAAAAAATCCGCTCATCACGCAATTTCTTTAAACTCACATAAAGCAAAAGCAAAGTTAAAAAATTGCTTGTTAATAGCAGCAACATCAATCAAAAATGTTAAACTGAAAAAGGCCAGTATTTAAGAAAAAATGACAAGGACAAGCTTCATTCAGAGAGCAGCTGAGATCTTTTATATCTATTCATCATCATCTATCCTGTACTCGCTCACACACACAAACAAAAAACATTCCCCTGACTGAATATGTATCCTATAATTAACCTTCCTTCAGCTTGGCCTCCCAATTACCAATCAAATGTCTTTCAGAAAGGAGGGTTTGTGTGGGGGGACTTTGGTTTTAAACGTATGCCTCCAATCTGCCATTTGGTTTTGGTTAAATTTTAATTAATTAGCCTGTAACAAAGGCAAAACTGTTTGGATGACACACACACACACACACACACACACACACAGACACATAACTGCTGCAAGAAAAATTAGATTGCATTTCATCTGTCTATTACTAACAACAGAAGCGTCATTCAAAGTTAGGCTCATTTGTGAATACCAATAGCAAAATGACAAAACTGTGTGAGACAAAGTAAGTATGTGATTACCACTGACCTGAAAGTTACCACTGTTCGTGTCAGTCATGTCCCACAGGGCAAAATCAGTTTCTCTGTCTCCATTCTCATCAATCTGTACTAGACCGGTGACACCTGGGAAAACCAAGTGACAACAAGTGTGTTATAGAGCTCATTGCAACGAATTCACATCAGAACCACAAAAATTCACAAACAAAAAAAACTTTAACAAACTTTAAACTTTGACATACTCCATCATTTAAATCTGAATATAAAGTTCAACCAAATAAAGCAGGAGCCCCATAGCTAAAATGATAATTTAAACAAACGATCAAATCCTTGAAGGGATAGTTCACCCCAAAAATGCGTTTGCACAGCTTCATGTCATTTTAAAGCTGTATGACTTGCTTTCTTCTGTGGAACAAAAAAAAAATATGTTGAAGAATGTTGGTAATCAAACATTTTTAGTTTCCATTGTTTTTTGTCCATGCAATGGAAGTCTACCGGAACAAAAACTGTTTGGTTACCAACATTCTTCAAAATACATTTTTTATATTCAAAAGAAGAAAGATATACAGATTTTAGAATGACATAAGGGTGAGCAAATTGACACAATTTTAATTTTTGGTTGGACTATCCCAGTAAGTGAGCTATAATTCTACGAAGACAATAGCATCCCATACCAACCACTTTGTCACATTATGAGTAATCAAAGTGATTATAATCACACACAGTAAATCAATTCACACACAGCGAATGTGTATACAAGTGTTCAATCAAATCTGATTGAGTCTCTTGAAAAGCTTCCGGTTGTGCCCATCTGCCAATGAGGGTCAGGTGCGGGCTGTAATTACCTCTTTAAATGGGCTACAGATAGAGGCCGGGTCCAGCTCAGAGGACACACAGAGTGACATTTAGACTGATATGAAAAGCTTAAGCTTTATCAGATTGGAAATGTCAAAGCCATTGTCGAGAGAGGGAGAAAGGAAGAGAGAGATGTCCTCACATCGGCTAATGATAAGGATAGCTTTAATAAGCCTGCATGAGTTATAAAAGGAATGGATACACACATAGACAGTTAGTGGACCATGACTGCCCATCTTGTGCAAATTGTATTTAGATTGTGAGGAATGTTTTGGCACATATTTCCCTTTGGAGGATAAAGGAAAATATCTCTGAACATTGACACTTAACATCTCCAGCAAACATTCTCTCAAAAGACATACAGACTATTTTGGAGGATATTAAATTCCGCTCGTAAATTTTACATTACACACAGACACATATATGGATAGACAGATAGAGTATGTGTTTGCACCATGTAATCAAAATAATGTAATGAGTGTAAGTGTAATGTTAGTTTGAGTCATTTGAATTGAAGACAGGTCATTTATTGTAGTGTTATGACTACCTCAGCAGGAAGTACAGGAAACTACTTGAGTACAGCATATCGGAATGAAAATGTAAATGGCAGATTGATGCTGAAAGCAGGAAAAACAGGACTCATTTGAATAAAGTAAGCAAAAACATATTTCCCATCTCCTATGATGTAGACGTCTGTATTCATGCCTTGAAAACTTTGTTATCTACCTGAATAATATAGATGAGGTTTTGTCTAAATTATGAGAATAACCTGTGATAGAACAATTTGGAAATTACGTTTTGCGTCATCATTTTCAAGCAAAAGTGTATTTATTAATGTACTTGGAGTTATTTTATAGCTATATAAAAACTAATTATTAAATAATTATATTATTAACAAAACTTAAAATGTAATGAAACAAATTTTTTATATCAACATTAACATTTTTGGTTAAAGGGGTGGTTCACTGTTTTTTTTTCTAGGCTTGATTGTGTTTATGGGGTGCAGTCTAACATGTGTTAATGCTTCGGTTTTAAAAAAACACATTATTTTTCACATAATTTATCTTTATTCCACACCGCTCTGTCCCTTCTCTGAGTAACACGCTGATCATTTCCTGCTTTTATGAAGCCCTCAGAAATAGGCGATGGGCTCTGATTGGTTAGCTAGCCCAATGTGTTGTGATTGGCTAAACCGCCTGTAGTGCGCGTCTAAACATCCCGCCCCTCACCTCGGCGGCATGTGCTCCGGCTGTATTGTAAACAATGGCGTCGTTAATATCGCTTATCAGCTTATAAGAGGATCGTGCAGAACCTGTGCAAGCACTGCTTTTAATGGTAGGCCTATGTTTTTTGTTTGTTGTTGTCTCATACTTTTAGATATGCTGTTATTTGTAAATACTACTGCTTATGTTAGCTTTTAATATACGGTTTTATCCTGATTAAAGCTTTAATACAGTACGGCAACTGCACGCGCGACAATGTTTAACGCTTCTCATAGCTATGTGAAAGTAAGTGTATAATTGGAACAGTTCATTGTTGGAGATGAGCTGAATCGGAGAATGAGAGAGAGATAGAGAGAGAGAGAGATGCAGAGCAGGGGGATGCGAGGAACAATATCAAGAACCGCTGCTTTAGAACATTGATTTTGAAACCTGTGAATCCATTAGAATCGTTAGAAGACAGAATCGCGATTCATATATGAATAGATTTTTACGTGCACCTCTAGTTCCCTTTCATGGGAACTTCGAACTGCGTCCTCTAGGGGTCGCTACGGGGAACGCCTCGTCGTGACCCATGTCTGAAGCAAACATTGAAAAAGCACCAACTCGTTGGTCGGCGACAGCCATGACGTCACTACTGGTGCGACTATAGTTTAAATAGGCGCCAGGAGCACACATCATTCTCTTCTTTGTCTTCATTGACTGTTCTGTTTGAAGCGTGCATTTCCAAGGAAAAAGTAAGAGCTATCTCTATTCATTATGGCGAGCACTAGCAGAGCATTTAGAAGGTGTGTGCATCCGTGTCATCGCTATTTGACACCAGATGACACACATGATCTGTGTGTTGTTTGTTTGGGCGAAGAGCACGCACGCGATGTCCTCGAGGGGGCAATCTGCGTGCATTGTGAGCGTTTTCCAATGAAAAAGCTCCGTTCTCGTTTGTCTCTCTTTTCGAGTAAAGAGGGGCAGCCATCTGCTTCCCGCGGTTCAGGTCCTGCCGCTGCTGAGGCACGGAGGAGAATGAGCTCGTGGGGATCTCAGGTGGACCTGGCCGATGAGTTTAAAGAGGGGCTTTCCCTCTCGCGCTTATCGGCGTCGGGCGAGAGACAGCCGCTGGAGGATGATGTTCTCTCTTTAACATCATCTGATCCAAGGGCCAGTGCTCTGCTGGGTTCTGCCCAGGAAGAGCAGGAAATGGATGAAGAGAGCGAAGAAGCTGAGGCTGAGCCTTCTCAATCCTCCTGCCCTGCGTATGATGAGCTCTTAGAGGTTATGGATCGCGCCACGGCGAGGCTTGACTTGCCGTGGAAGCGGACTAAGGAAGTGACGTCGCGAGGTCGTCTCGAGGAACGTTATCTTTCTGACCATAACCCTCCAGCTCAGGTGAGCCTTCTTTTCCTTCCTGATCTCCATACTGAGATCGAGAAGGAATGGAAGAGGCCGTTTTCCTCACGCATCCATCGGTTTCAGCATTCCAGTTATGCGAACATCGAGGCAATGAGCGAAAACGGCTATGAGAGAATGTCCCCTGTAGCTAGCTAGCTATCTCTCTATGGGTGAGACATCGTCTCTCAAAACTCCCTCTTTGCCATCCGTGCCCCTTCAGACTACATCTAAATTGAATGGCACAAGGGCGTTCCCCATAGCGACCCCTAGAGGACACAGTGTCTCGTTCCCAACTCAGGGAACCATGGTTACATAAGTAACCTGAGACGTTTTCTCTTCCTCTTCTCTAAAGCAGCGCAGCATGGCCTCGCCCCCTTTGCTGCCTTTTCCCGAGGGCAGGGTTTATCTGGGTTTGTTATGTCACGACCCCGGGAAGTAGCTTGTTGTAGTTCTTACCAGCCGTTTTTGTAGGCATTAAACTGCCAGAATTTTAAAAGACAATATCTCCGTTTGCATTGAACTTTCAGCTTCATAACATTGCAGATATTGTTTATGCTCAAACAGCAACATTACACACAAACTAACGTTTAAAAAAAGTGAAATCGATTTCAACAATTTCACTTTTATATATATATATATATATAGTCAAACCCCTGGACCTGTTTTGTTGTGTTTTCTGTCCCTATGTGCTCCCCGTGACCCAGTTTCTCCTTTGTTTGATTGTGTTTATTTGGTTCAGGTGTGTCTCGTCAATTACCCTCATCTGGTATTTAAAGTGTAGTCTGTCCTGTGTTTCCTTTGTCCGGTGTCGTCCATGCAATGTACTACGTGTGTGTTCCTGCTTGCCCTGTGTTACCCCTGGTTTTGGATTATTAAAGACCGTTTTTCATATTTTTCCTATGTCTCCGCGTTCCTTGACTCTTCACAGAAGTAACCGTGACATTTTTTTTTTTACTTAACCTAGAATGTTGGTGTTAATATAAAAAACATATTTTCATTAAATGTTAAACCTTGATAAAGATGAATATCTGTAGAAAACAGCCTATTTTCTGTATTTTTAACTTTTTGCTTTTATTAATTTTTAACAGTCCTGTCGTAATAAATTAATCTTTAAAAATAAATTATTATGAAGCCGTAAAAGCAAGAATTGCATGCAAGAATTAGAATACAATTAGCAAAATGTTTTTGAACATTTTTAGCAAGTTTTAGATGTAATGTAAATATATAGCCTATGTTACAGCGAAGTTTTTCACACCAATTACTGATTTATCTAAATTAATTTATCTATCATTATTTTTAACCTGTGATACATTACCATCACAGGTGAAGAAATAACAATAATCATAAAAATGAGAAAAACAAGAAAAGCTAAGTTCTAAGAAATAGTTAAAGGTGCATGAAATAATGGGCAGTTGGAAGACATTACTGATTTGATCCATTGAGTCAGTCCCTTTCTGAGTCAGCTGTGCAAACTGGCACAATGTAACTGAAGTATGTACTCAGTCAATAGATCTGAAAAGAATTTCATTATCTTTACAATAAAGAGAATGAATGATTTTATAAGCGAACTAAAGAAAGTCTACTTCCCCTTTCAAATGTCATATAAAAGGCAGAACAAGTATGTAGAACATTCTGTGCTTCCGGTCTATTCAGTGGCTTCATATT